GCGGTGTCTAATGGCCAATATTGTCGCTGCATAGCAGCCAACAACATCAGCCAAGGTCCTGCCAACGCTGGCTTGGGGGGCCGACGGGTTATCTCTAGCTGGTAGGGAGAATTGCTGAGGGCATACTGACGGAAGGACTTTTTCTCGACTGCACCTGGACATTCTTTTGTGGTAGGCGGGGAAAATTGCTGGCCAAAAAAAAAAAAAGGGAAAAAAAAAGGAAATTCTTGGCCGGAGTACCAGCCACGTGTCGTTTCCATCTGAAGGGTACAAAGGCCAAGTGGACATTCACTCTCAGGGCCTCGCCACACCACTCTCGAAATGTGCAAAAGACAAAAATGTGGCGTGTGCATCTGGCGATGGTCTAGCGAGAAGTTCATTCTCATTTTGCACATTTCGAGAGCGGTGTGGCGATGGCTGCCCTCGTTTTGCACATTTGGTGAGTGTAGGGGGAAGGCCACCTTCCGTCCCTTCTCTCATCCCTGCGCAGGGGCCATGCTAATCTTCTCTGTGGGCATACTCACATTAGGACATTCTTATGCTCGGCCGAACCAACCAACCGGGTTGGAATCGAAAATCCATATATATATATATGCCAGAAGGAAGAAAAGTGGTAAGTCGAAGTCAAAAAAAAAAAAAAAAAAAAAAAAAAAAAAGTGGTAAAGTCTCAATTTTTTCAAATTCCTATGTAATTTTCTATACGGGACGCCCAGCACGTGTTGTTCCCCACGAATAGATTGGAGCTTTGTTCCCATTGAAAAAAAAAAGAAAAAAAGAGGACATTCTTAATGTATCTGACAGCGACTACGGCAAGATCTGATGAATCTGACCGCAATCTCGTCCACAGCTCAGCAAAAAAAAAAAGTCCTACCGTTAGGGCCTCCTCCACTACTCACAAAATGCACAAACGACAAAACAGATGCCGGTGTATCTTCCTCTGTTCTCCGGTAGTATTCGTTTTTTTTGCATTTTTTTGTGAAAGATTCGTTTTCATTTCGCACATTTGACTAGTAGTGGACCCTAGCCCTAAGTTTTGGTGCAATTCCCCCCCCCCGCACCCCCCCTTCCTTCCACTCTTTGAGAGGACGAAATTAGATGAATGAAATTTCTGAACCTTGGGCCGCTCAGGTGGACAATGTCACGATGATACCTCAAGGCCGTTGCCCTTTTGGAAAAAAAGACAAATGCTCTGCGCCAGGTAAATCTTTTTTTTTTCTGCGGGGCGGGGAATGCGCCAGGTGATTCAAATTTCTGTGTTTCATTTTTTGAGAATTATTTATTTTTTTCTGGTCATGTATGCGATTGCATCTGGATTCGAAGAGGGGTTTGACTTCTCGATTGAGTATCAGATGGTGCTGCTTCGCCATCTGGCACCACCCCGTGCCAAAGGCAATTGACCCTAGTCACGCTGGCACCACTCCGGACCAGAGGCCGCCAACATTTTGAATGCATCTGGACTCAATTTTGTCCAGATGCATTCAAAATGTTGGTGGATGGCGAGTAGTGCAACTACAGGCCCTGGCACTACACTACCGGTAGTCACGGTGGCAGTACTCCAGAACAGACTCAACAGAGGCAATTGACACCAGTCACGGTGCCACGAATCCGACCCAGAGCAAATTGATCCTACCGTCTTCGCCCGAATAGAACGCCCGGTCATTATAGCCGTATTTGGTCCAATAATCAGTCCAGATACGGCTGTAGTGACCGGGCGCTCTATTCGGGTGAAGATGGTAGGTGGCGGCAAAGAATAACAAAGCCACGGCGAACTGCTCCCCGAGTTGTGGACTACTCTTTTTGCATTTCTCTTGTTTCCCTCCTTTGGCTATCGGGTTTGGTACCTGGTACCTCAGTCGTAGGTACACCCACGAACTGACTTGCAACCTTAGTTGGTACACTTACGTGCTGAGTTTGAATTGCAATGGAATCAGATGAGTGAAAACAACTCTGAATTGAACGAGCGTCCAGGGCGGCCGGGTCTACCTGTTGCTGGGCCCCTGGAGGCAGTGGAAGTGCCACCTGTGGCAGTGGGAACTGTTGGTAGAATCCGAGAGTGCCCAGCTCCACCTTCCTCACCCCGATACAAGGTACTGTCATTATAGATATATATTTGGGTATCTTTCCTTCAAAATACAGCAATAATGACCGTACGTTGTTTTCGGTATTCGGGTGAAGGAGGCACAAGGGAGAGATCTGTCAAACGGACATCACCTGCCTGATACACGATATCATCAGCTATGGTGTTGGTGAGGCTGGGAAACGACGGAAGACGTGTCTGCCGAATCATATACTAATTTGAAGCTATGGTAAGATGGCATTGCTGGCTGTGGCTAATCATGCTCAAGGCGACAAAGGACATGGAGCTACCATGGCGCTTCAGTAGACAAGGCTGCATAATGGGTCTCGCTCCACTACTATGGTCTCACGAAAACTCGTCGGTAGGGGATGGCTCCTCTAAATCCACTTCTCTAGAATGGAACTCAGTGTCAGAAAGGACTCACTGAACCCTAGAACCGTTGGGAGTCCACAACCTGCAACTTCCCATGTTTCTAGGATGGTCGACCCTACCCCCAACGCGGCCATGTTTCTAGGATGGTCGACCCTACCCCCAACGCGGCCATGTTTCTAGGATGGTCGACCCTACTGCAATCAGACTCGACTTATTCACACTTTTCATGCACCTGAACAGCAGCACACAACTGGCAACATGCACCCACACAGTACACAGAGATATGTCTTCCAGGTAGGATCGCTTCCACTGGCTATGGCGACTGAGCGCCCAAACAACTCACTATTCACACTCTGGATCACCCTGGATGTCCCACATGCAACACTCTGTAACCACATGCAACACACACACTACTACAGCTATGGCAGGGCTAGCTGCCACTACCCTAGCGCTATACTACACTCCTCCGCCCACTTCGTCTTCGGGCACACTGCAGACCTCCTCGCACAAGCTGCTGAGGCAGCGCTTCCGCATGGCATCCGCAGGAATGAATGAATGGCAGGACGCAGCCTCTTGATTTATACTTCTGCGCTGCGTTGGTCTTCCCTGTGTCCCTTGGCCCTTGGTGCACACAGTCCCAGACGGTACTTGCTGGACAGGACCGGACTGCCTAACTGGGACTGTTGACTCAGCGAGGTGGCCTACCACCACTTGACCACTTGCCTCTGTTCAATGCAGGCCCACTCCGAAAGGCCACTTCTAGAAACCTCTAACTTGACCTTTCGGTACTGTAGCAGCTACGACTTTGCCCCTTCAGGTAAGTAGCAGCTACGACCTTGACCCTTCAGACATCCTACAACTACGACTTCGGAACTGTCTAGACTCCTACCCTACAGGTCTACAGTTCGATTCCCTTCTACCCTGTGACCTACGAAAACCTACCTACCACTGGCGGTCCTACAGGTCGCAGGTTCAAGTCTACGGGTTGAAACTGGTACTGTACACAGGTAAGACGGGGAACTAGGGATTGAGCCCTGGGATCTGCATTCGCTACTGCGAACTGGTGAATACCGTTTCACTCCCGCCGGCCTAAATTCGAGGTCCTCCGAGAAAATTTCAGTCCAAGGCAGGACCTTTACCTCACTGTTGTCGCTCGTAGGCCCGGACTAGATCGGGAGCTGTCTCTAGAAGTTCAGATCTCGTAAACCAGCGGTCGTCTTCTGGTTCTTGATAACTGAAGTGAACCTTGTACTGTTTCTGCGGACGACCCCTACCTCCAGTTCTAAAGACATCTTCAGCCACTATACCGTCGATGTCATATCTTCCATCCATATCCGGTGGGAACATTGATCTACGGGATGGAAATTGATCACTTGTCTGACAAGGTAATAACTTCGATGCATGGAAAACTGGGTAAGTGTGGAGGTGTGCCGGGAGTTCTATAGTATAGGACGGTCCATCTTCGCCGCCCTTGACTTCTAGAACAGGCCACGGTCCTCGATATGTGGGCAGTAACTTCTGCGAGATGTTCTCCTCAGGTGCAAACTCCTTAGAACTGACCCAGACTAAGTCGCCTACCTGAAACTGTGAAGGGCGACGATGTTTGTTCGCTTGCTCTATCATCCTATGCTGGGCTTTYCTGAGGTTCTCTACAACARTAGCYAGTTCTTTCTCATGCTGTACAGCAAACTCCCTGGTCCCGGGCGGCAATCTGTGAATCTGATCCCGGTTGAGTCCCTCAAACGGTCTGCGCGGTCTAAAGGACTTGTGCAGTTCGTTGGGAGTGCGGCATGTAGACAGATGCACGCTGTTATTGTACGCACTAGCTACTTTGGGCAACATCTCATCCCAGTTAATCTGATCTGGCCTGATGTACATGCGCAGAACTTGCTGTAGGATCTTGTTCATCTGCTCGGTCTGACCGTTAGTCTCTGGATGACGGCCGAACGACATCAGCAACTTAGACTCATATACTCCCATGAGTTCTTGCCAGTTCTAGCTAGTAAAGCAACTATCCCTATCGCTAACTATAGACAGTGGGATTCCATTCTCACTGAACCAACAGTCAAAAAATCTCTGTATGACTAAATCAGTACGTGCCTCTGAAGGCAAAGGAACGAAAACTACGTACTTACTAAAACGGTTCACTATGACCATGACTTGGCTCTTGCCATGCCTACTCTTGACTTGAGTGTCCATGAAGTCTATGGACACTGAGTCTGGTAAGGGTCTGAGAAAACCTAGCGGGGCGCGCGTAGAACTCTTATTACGCTGGCAGACTTTGCAACTGCGAACATACTGTGCGCAGTCATTTTTCATTCCTGGCCAGGTATATGCGCGCATCAGATTGGCTAAAGTCTTTTGCCAACCAAAATGACCCTCTGTGTTGTGGCATTCCCCCAAAATCAAACTACGGATCTCTTCGCGATTGGGGATGCACAGCCGGTCAAAAACATTAGTCTTTTCAAAAAGCAACCCCTCAGTAGTGCGGTAATTCGGTTCAGTCTCTGGGGCCTCCTTGACCTTCTTGAGGAGATAGGGTCCTGCGCGTAGGCTTCTCTAACCTTCTGCTGCAGGTCCTTCCCTATATCGAGGTAATGTACTATTGCCCCAAAGTAATCAGCTCGTCTACTCAGAGCATCCGCGACTACGTTGTACTTCCCCTTGACAGGCTTGAGCTCGAAGTCGTACTGATCTTTCTCTGCGGCCCACCTAGTAAGCTTAGGTGTCATCTTGGCCTGCGTCTTTAACCATCGTAACGTTTCATGGTCGGAATAGACTTTGAAGTGCCTCCTAAGCAAGTACTGCTTCGAGTGGTCTAAGGCTTGCCTGAGAGCGTAGAGTTCCCTCTCATAGGAAGATGTCGCGATCTTCTCTGAAGACATTCTGGCGGACATGAACTCTACGGGTCTATACCCATCGCCATCGTCTTGCTGTAACACTGCGCCTATGCCGTATTGACTCGCATCGGTCGTGACGACAAAGGGCAAAGACGGATCGGCAACTTTAAGGACTGGATACTCTATCAATGCCTGCTTTAACTTCCTCATGGCAGACGTGCAGTCCTCATCCCACTTCCAGATGGTCTCCTTTCTCAACAGTCTGCGAAGGGGCACAGCGATGGTAGAGAAGTTCCTCATGAACTTCTGGTAGTAATTAGCTAAGCCCAAGAACGAGCGCAACTTTGTTAGTGTACGTGGCGTGGGCCAATCTCTAATCGCTGCGATCTTGCTACCCTCTGGCTTAACGCCGTCTCCGTCTAAGACGTGACCTAAGTACAAAACTTGGGTTTTCGCCCAATCGCACTTCTTTGCATTGATCTTGAAGTTAGCTTCCCTCAGCTTCTCCAAGACCTGCCTGAGATGACCCTGATGCTCTTCGAGGGTCCTACTAAATACTAGAACGTCATCTAGGTACACTATAACAAATCTATCTAACCACGGCCTGAACAAATCGTTCATACAACACTGGAATGTAGCTGGCTCATTGGTTAGTCCAAAGGGCATTACTATGAACTCGTAGTGCCCATATCTAGTCCGAAAGGCTGTCTTATACTGATCATCAGGATGCACTTCTATCTGATGATATCCGGACTTCAAATCTATCTTGGAAAAATACTTCGCCCTCTACACTCAATCTTAGAGATCGTCTATCCTAGGCAGTGGCTCAGCATTCTTTACTGTAATAGCATTCAGACCCCTATAGTCTATGCACATCCTCAGCTCTCCCTCTTTCTTAGGAACAAAGAGAACAGACGCTCCAAAAGGAGATGAACTGGGCCTAATCCAACCCTTCTCGAGGAGCTCGTCTAATTGCTTGCGAAGCTCCTCTAACTCCCGTGGGGACATCCTATACACAGCGCCCTTGGGAGTTCTACTGCCACGCTCTATCTCAATGCGGTGCTGGATGGGCCGCGGTACTACTCCTATCGGCGGCTCTGTTTGATCCTTGAACTCTTCCAGCAGCTTGGCAATCGCAGGGTCCATAGGCTTTTCTTTAGTAGGCTCAGTCACCGGCCTAACATAGGCGACAAAAACTTGTTCCTCCAGTTTTTTCCTCTTCACTAATCTGGCGAATGCAGGCGCACTAAGGCAGCAATGTGCCAGTGGGCTCTCTACTCCTGACACGTGAAACAGGCGGGCAGTCTTAGCCTC